GCAAACCTGACGGAGGATTCAGTTCTTGGAGCAAACCAGATGGGGGATCCAGTTCTCTGAGCAAGCAAGGTGGTGAGTCCTCTTGGAGCAAACCGGGTGGGGGATCCAGTTCTTGGAGCAAACCGGACGGGGGATCCAGTTCTCGGAGCAAGCAAGGTGGTGAATCCTCTTGGAGCAACCCGGATGGAGGATCCAATTCTTGGAGCAGACCGGGCGGAGGATCCAGCTCTTGGAGCAAACCGGACAGAGGATCCACTTGGAGCAAGCAAGGTCATGGATCTTCTTGGAGTAAACCGGATGGAGGATCTGCTTCTTGGAGCAAAGAGGTTGGTTCAACAGAAAATAAAGGTGATACTGATCAAGGTGGGAGTTGGGGGAGGTCAGAATCATTTGGTGGGGCCCGTGGTTCAGGTGGAAGAAGTGGAAGAGGTGGTCGAGGAGGAAGAGGTCAATTTGGTAGGGGAAGGTCATTTGGTCAGGGTGAGACTTCCAACTGGGCAAAAGGCAATACAGATGAACATGGCTTCAGTGGTGATGCATCGAAGGGAAACCATTCGAGTTGGAATAGTGGTCGAGCAGATAGTTGGGATAAAAATGTATCCACTGCTGGAGATAAAGAGAGTGGTTGGGGCAAGCCAAATGCATCAGGGGACAATGGTGAATCCAAATGGAGGGGTGCCACTAAAGATACTGGTGAATGGGGTGGAAAATCTCATACAGGTTGGAATGGTGGTCGGGCTAATGACCAGAATGAATCCTCAGATTGGCAGAAGAAAGATAAAAGCTGGTATCAGAAATCTGATGACAGTAAAATGGATGTGGAGGCAGGCAAAGATGATCCCTGGAACAGCAAAAAAACATCGGAGGGAGGTTCAACTTCAGGTTGGGGTCAAAGCAAGTCAGGTGGAGCAACTGATGCTGGTGGAGGTTCATCCTCAGGTTGGGGTCAAAGCAAGTGGGGTGGAGCAGGTGATGCTGGTGGAGGTTCATCATCAGGTTGGGGCCAAAGCAAGTGGAGTGGGGAAACTGAGGCTGGGGGAAAACAAAACTCTTGGAGCAGCAAGAGCAATTGGAACTCAGACAATAACTTTGGCAGTAATGAAGGACAAAATGACACTTTTGATAACCAGGGAAGAGGTGGAAATTGGAGAGGAGGCCGAGGAGGAAGATGGGGGCAAGATAGAGATGGTTTTGGGCGCAGAGGTTCTGAACGAGGTGACTTTGAAGGTCGTTCTGACCGTGGTGGTTTTGGGGGTAGGGGTAGATCAGGTAGGGGAGGATTTGGTGGTAGAGGTCGATCGGATAGGGGAGATTTTGGTGATTTTGGTGGGAGAGGTGGATCAGATAGGGGGGGGTTTCGTGGCAGAGGTGGTTTTGGAGGAAGAGGACGTGGAAGGAGGGATGATTGGAATAAAAATGATTCTGATCAAGTTAAGTCCTACCGCTATAACATGTCAAACAAGGACGTGGACTGGAAAAGTAGTAGTGGTGGAGGTAATTGGAATGATGGAGATCGTGACAAAGGCCAATGGCAGAGTGCATATTCAGGTTGGGTGGCTGCTGGGGGAGGAGATAGTGCTCAAGCTGGTGGATGGAACGAAGGAAACGATAATGCTGGTGGCAGTTGGGATGATGGAGTTCATGGCAAAGGCCAGTGGCAGAGTGGGAATTCAGGTTGTGCAGCTGTTGGTGGAAGAGATAGTGCTCAAGCTGGTGGGTGGAACAAGGGAAGCAATAGTGCTGGTGGGATCGGTGCCCAGTCTAGTGGCTGGAATCATGGAGCTAAAGATGTAGCTAGTGGTGACAAGCCTAATTCTGGGAAAAATGGGTCTTGTAGTAATGCTGGTGGATGGGTAAGCAACAATAGTGGAGGCAATTGGCAAGCTGGTGATACGAATCAGTGGCAAGGTGCTGGTTCAGATGGGAATAAATCAAAGGAGCCTGCTGAAAGTGGAGACATTGAGCAAGCTGGTGGCTGTACCGGAGGACTTGATTTAAGCAAAGATGTTAGTGGAAGTGATACTAATTCCGGTTGCTGGAATAGCCAAAATAATAATTGGAAAACATCAAATTCTTCTGGTGGAGCCACATCATCTAGTTGGAACCAACCGGCTATGGGGAAGGGGGAAGGTGCTGGCACAGCTGATGCTTGGGGTAAAGCACCGGCAAGCTCCTGGGGCCAGGCAAAGGATGGAAATGATAAAGGGGGTTGGTAACTGCACTATAAAGGTAAACTCTGCTTTATATACTCGTCTGTCTTGCTTCAGTCTCTACTAGTCTAAACTGTGTTACATTTTCTGCTACATTTTGTGATGATGGTGTTAGCAAGTAGTGAGCCTTATGTGTCTTCCCAATCAACTTGTAGTCAGCATCTAAAATCGGCGCTATAAAGGTAAACTCTGCTTTATATGCTCATCCGTCTTGCTTGAGTCTATACTAGTCTAACCTGTGTTAACTTCTCTGCTACATTTTGTGATGATGGTGTTAGCAAGTAGTGAGCCTTAAGTATCTTCCCAATCAACTTGTAGTTAGGATCTAAAATTGGCTCCTTAATTATGAGAGAGTCCTTAAATGAGACTTCTTGTCATGTAGTTGGGTGATAGCTCAATTTCTTGGCATCCAGTCACAGTAAATGTTTCTTGTCAGGAATAAAATTGATTTGGATGATTAATAGGATATTTGATACATCAATCAGTGTTTAGCATATTGAAGCTTTTACGTAAGATTCACTAAGGATGAAAATTTATTAGCAAAATGATTTGAAGGGAAGGTAGGAATTTGTGAGAAATGGTATGAGAACAACAAATTGACAGCATTTCATGGAAAACAAATTTACTACTCACTGCAGGCAAACTGTCTCTTTTTGGCTGAAATTATACCTGCAAATTCAACTTCATTGTCAGCATAATGTTGTCCTTTTCTTGTTTTACTGCTTTTGATGCCCATGCCCTTTTAGGTTGGACTATGAGATAATTGCTGTTAAAATATTTGGGAGGTACAAGTCTAATGTTGGAGGAGTCAGGGACAAGTGCCCTGACCGGTTAAAAGTAGTTCTCTTACTACTAAGCTCCCATTCATCATGGTTGGAAATATTATGAAGAGAGAGAGAGAGAGAGAGAGTAAAATGAGAACGTGCTTTTTAAGCATTCAATTTTTTTCTTTATATTTCAATTAAAGAAAGCACATTTTAATTTTCAAGTAATTGAACTAAAAATTGTTCTTAAAGAAATTCTTTTGGTTTGGTAAAAGAGGATCATAAATGTCACATTTCTTTAATGTTTGTGTGCTCACTCCTGTTGGAGTGATCTAATTTTTCTGTTCTATGTGCTTATTATTTTGCATTGTTTGCAGGTTAGATGCTAAGAAGCCCTTGCACCAAAGCACAGATGGTGACTGTTCACTAAAAATCTTCTAAAAAAACTTTGGGGGTTTGGAACCATATCTTCATCTTTCTCCATTGTGTAGAAAGCCATGAAACCTTTGACAATTTTCTGGATGTTGTCAGTACTGCTGTATGACTTTTCAGCTGTATATAAGCTAATTGTCGGTTTTTGATGAATTCTATGGACTTTCATTAGTAAGTTTCATGAATCCCCTCCCCGACTTCCCTGCATGGGCCTGTTGCGGTTCATAAACGCCCCTGGGTTTCAAAGACTGCAGCCAATGTGTGACTTTTTTTTTTCTCTCTTCCAGAAATTTGGTTTAAGGCTCCGAGTGCTCTTTTACTTGGCAGGTTTTTCCCCCAGAATGCTAGCCAGTAGAAAAACTGCACCCTTACAAAGTCTGGCGCTTAGTCTTGGCAGCTGAAGACAAAATCTAATCTGAGACTGGCAAACAAAGTGGTTAAATATGCAGGCGTTTGTGCCTAGAGAGAACTTTCTGTTTAGAGCTAGTTCTCAGGATATGTGGTTGGACTTTTGGTGTTTTGCTGGGGGATTAGGTGGCTTGGGTTGGGCTGTAGAAGATTGGCCTAACTGTCATGGGAGGTAAACAAAAGATATGGGATGCCAGAATTGTTGGGGGTGCCTCTGGGTGGTTAGAGGGTTCTTCTACTTTCCCAGTTCCTGGTCCACGTATTTTAGGACGCTTAGCTCAGAGAGAGTGACTAGTGGCCCCGTTTGGTTAAGTGGGAGGTGGAATCATGGGACCGTGTGTGTGTGACTCTTCGTTTGAACTGAAGAAACGAAGTGCGAGAAATATTGGATGCGTTGATTGAGCTTTTCCGTCGGTTCTCTGTTCTATTTTGATGGTACTGCTAAGTACGGCGTCATTACTGCGCCAATGGATGGGAATTTCAACTGAAACATAAATTTGCCTACTGATTTGACTTGCTAAACTTGAAATTTCCAAAAATAAAATATTGCTACGTTTAAAAAGGAAATAACGAAGGTAATAGTTCTAAAATTTCTCGTTGCATCAAATCTCCAAAAGTTGGCAGAGAGAGAGAGAGAGAGCTTAACGGAAATACCACCATCACTGTCTAAAGCACTACTAACAACTACGTATTCAGCTGAATACATCTCTAAACTTGAAAATTAAGAAATTTAGCATTATCCCTAGAAGAATTGAAACTTTTCCCAAAAGGCAAGTAATTTCCTGGGTTTCGGTTGAAGATCTTTTATCCATATAATAAATAGACTTACCAGTCTACTACTTAACACCATCTAAGGTCCGGGGCAAACCAAATTTGATCAATTTGATTTCTTCGTACACTCGCTATTTGTTAGTGCTTAGTACTAATAAAATCCTAATGGAAAAATGCTTTTGACTTCTATAAAGAATATTAATCTCTAAAACTAGACCCTTTATTGTTATTTAAGTCATCTCAAAGTAAAACAATAACGATTTATGTAATGATTAGATGAACATCATTTTGAAAATCTTTAAGAATTTTGCACCACACACGTTACATTATTAAAGAAATTTTCTGAAAAATGAAATTCAAACGAATATAAGGTGTTATCATGCTATTATTAGTTAGAGAGAGAGAGAGAGAGAGAGATCTCATACTGGAAGGAAAGAAGTGCTTAAAATTGGTCCAAAAGCAAGAGGAAAGGAAGGTGTTATCCAAGTGTCCAGCAGTTAAATCTTTACATGTACTTACACAGTAGAACCACAAAAATAGAAAGAAATATAAATAAACGCTGATACATATTTGTTGCAGCGAGCTCGGACTGGGAGGCGCGCACACAAATGGTTTGGGGCTTTCCATCTCATACGATTTCCCCTTCCTTTTCGGATCTCTAATCTTCTCTCATCTTAATCTAATATCCCAAAATTTTTTCTTTAGCTTTCACCCCACTCATTCTTTCGCTCTCTACACACACTCCAGTGTGTAATTCTTGATTCATTCTCCCCAAGAAATTTGACTGTAATTCCTGCATTTCTGTGCCATTTTTATGTCTTAATTTTCAGGGTTTACATTAAATTCATTGATCATCGACTTCTTCTAAACAGTCGATTCTCAATCCCTTGAGGTATTTCTTACTGACCCTTTTGTTATTTCTGTTGAAATATGAATTAAAAAGCAGCGGGCACAAAAAATTACTATCATTATAGACCAGCCAAAAAAAAAAAAAAAAGATTCCCTTTTTGTGTTATTATGTTTGTTATGCGTTGTTAACGTTATTTGTTAGTTTATTCTTGAAAAGGCTTTGTGAAGTTTTTTGATGTTTGGGGCATATCTTAGGTTTCATGTGGAATAGTGAAGAAGCAGTAGAGGAAGGGAGGATATAGTGTTAGTAGTAGTTTAAAAGTATGTTCAATAAAATCAGAAAAAAAGGACATCGAAAGGCCTCAAAATCGGATGGAGCTGAGACCCCAATACCTACCAACAATGCAGCGCCTAATCCTGATGTTACTGTTAATCATGCTTCAAGAACGGCTGGTGCACCATCTCAACTTTTGTCTTTGGACTGTCTGGGACACGGTTCTGGAGTGGTTGAAGTATTACCCTTGTTGAAAGAAATTCCGCTGTCTGAAAGACATGCTTTGTTCATCAGAAAGCTCCAAATTTGTTGCGCTTCCTTTGATTTTTCAGACACTTTGAAGAATGCCCGAGAAAAGGAGATTAAGAGGCAAACTCTCAATGAGCTGATTGAATTAGTGCAATCAGGGTCTTCTAAAATGAATGAAATAATGCAGGAAGGGTTAGTGAAAATGATATCAATCAATGTTTTTCGGTGTTTACCTCCTGCAATGCATGAGAATACAGGGTCAGAGAGTGGTGACCCTGATGAGGATGAAATGTTTACGGACCCATCATGGCCTCACTTGCAACTTGTGTATGAGTTACTTTTGAGATATGTGGTATCACCTGATATGGACACTAAGATAGCCAAGCGATACCTTGATCATTCTTTTGTTCTAAAATTACTGGATTTATTCGATTCTGAGGACGCCAGAGAGCGTGAATACTTGAAGACTATTCTTCACCGCATTTATGGGAAATTCATGGTCCATCGCCCATTCATTAGGAAAGCGATAAATGATGTATTTTACCGTTTTTTATTTGAAACAGAGAGGCACAGTGGGATTTGTGAGTTGCTAGAGATTCTTGGAAGTATTATAAATGGGTTCGCTCTGCCAATGAAAGAAGAGCATAAATTGTTCCTTGTTCGGGCTCTTATTCCATTGCACAAGGCCAAGTGTGTCGCATCATATCATCAGCAGTTATCTTACTGCATTACACAATTCGTAGAGAAAGATTATAGATTGGCAGATATTGTGATTAGGGGATTGCTGAAGTACTGGCCTGTAACCAACTGCGGCAAGGAAGTTCTCTTTCTTGGAGAACTAGAAGATGTCTTGGAAGCCACACAGTCTGAGGAGTTTCGGCGCTGCATGGTGCCTTTATTTAGACAAGTTGCTCGAAGCATCAACAGCTCCCATTTTCAGGTTTGAGAATGATCATTTTTGCCTTTGGAAGTTTATAAAATCTAAATGAGACACCTGTGTCCTTAAATTCTTGAACAGCTTCACCTCATTGCTATGCTTTTGCTTTTCTAACAAGTCATGACTCTTTAGCATTAGTTATCAGATTTAATGTATATTACATCATTAGATTGATTAACGAGCATTAGTAGATTGTACATTGTGCATTTGGGTGCTATGAGCCATTTATAATGAAAGGGGGAAATTATTTTCCCTGCTTTTTATTACTAGGACGGACAAAAGTTAAGTGGGGTCCAGATTGACATACTGTTTGCTCTTACTTATAAGTTTAACCATGGTAAGTTTATGAAGTTTGTCTGGGTTTATGAAGAAAACTTATGATTTCCAACGTTTTGGAGGTTGTTCTCTGGCATTGTGCTCTATATTTCGTGTAGCAGTCACTGTCTTTATTTATCCTAGACTTATTCTTTTCAAATTCTGAAACACTGTTTGAGGATTCGGATGATGATAATGTTAAGTATTCATGGCAATGTTCTGTTTCCAGACTATATGATTCTAAAAAATGTTCTGAACATGTGCATTATAGTAATGCAACTTTCTTTAGAGCCAATGATGGGTAATAGACTGATAAGGAACAAGTGCAGCTACTGTGGACATATATATATATATATATATATATATATATATATATGTGTGTGTGTTCCAATCATATACTCAAGCTGTTGAATATCACGCAAATCATAATGACCGTCTTTGGGTCATATAACCATATGAGCAGGTGTTACAGCGGGACGGACTCCTAAAATTTAGGATTGGTTCATATTATAGGTAGCTTATACAGTGATGAAGAATATGCAATATGGTGTTATGGAATTTGGAATCACCAGCCAATCAAGTGGTCGTTGGAATTAAAATATGAATGTATAGTGCCAAGAATATGATTCTGGTCCTGAGGACATAGAACAGGATTTTAAATATGTTTGAAATACCAGAAATCTCTTGTATTAGGATAATATTCATCCCATTTATAACAAGTTGTGTAATATTTTTGACCTAGTATACAACTATGGCACCCTACAATCTGGTATGACCGTTGGTCAGTTATGACATGAATAAGTACCTGAATTTATGGGTCCAGGAAATTGATCAATGGTTAAAGATCTCTAGTCTTGCTCAATATATAAAATTTGTTTTCTATTTACAAATATCCAGTTTCTAGTTATACAGAAAATTGTATATTGTTCATGCTTATTTGTATGATTGTGTAAACTTACGTACTGAACAATGTGTATAACTTACTGTAAAGGACAGTGTTTACCATATTTATCACACTGTTATTTGACAACAGTCAATGGAATGAGTAGTTTCATCATTTTTAGATGAGTACATTCATTCCATACATCTTGATTAAGAGATGCCTTTGAAATATTTACCTTTTTCCACTTAGACCACCTTTTCATTCATAGGACTAAATGGGTTTAAACAAAATTAGGTTCGTAATCTTGTCATATCTCATATTTGTTTAGTTTTGGAAATGGCATTGATGACCATTTTGAAGCTTCATCCAACGTACATGGCATAATACAATCCCCTGGGGGAAGTGTGTGTATTGATGACAAGTTGACTTCTTTACTTAATGTCTATACATGTTTACTAGTAGGATGTCTTCTCCATTCTCCTGCATATTCCAGATGCTAGACCAGTATTTTAAAAGGATTATTTACAGGACCATTAAATCTAGGATTCCTTGCGCTGGTTAATTAACGTCTCCTAATTTAGTCTGTGGACTAAATTTGCGTTTAGAAGTTACGGTCTAAGGTAGCGAAATTCCTTGTCGGGTAGTGGGTTTTTTTTTTTTTTTTTTTTTTTTTTTTGCATTGTGGAATTGGAACCATAAACCCCACTGTGGGTATGAGTTTTGGTCTTCTTCCTTGCCTGTTGTTTTTGAACCAAGATGGGGTTCATTCTACTAAAGAGCTAATCAATTTGAACCCCAAGTCATAAGTGGAGAATGATGGGGGGCACAATCTAAAACTTTGATCCCCATTGAATTATTCCCATTCCAACCAAACAGTTGCAATGGGTATCATTACTTTGATATCCATTCCTGACCCCCATACCTCTTTACCAACCATCCCCTTAGTTTCTAAAAATTCCTTTCAACTTCCAAAGGAGATTATTGTAATTATATTAGAATAGATAAGTTCAATTTTAATCTAGCTCAGGATAGTTTGCTCGTTTAATTTGATTGTTTCTGCCTAAGTTTACACTTGTTCAGTTGAAAGAGAAGATGCTTTGAATTCCTTAATTGTTAGTTTTGATAAGATTGAATCATTTTTAATCTATTCTTGTTGTTTACGTTAAGCTATAGAAAATAAGAGTGTGTCAGTTGTAAAGGATACTGATAATTAGCACAATCGGTGAATCATATCGCCTTTTATTGCTGTGAGGGTCCTTTTAAGATTTGATAGTAGGCCAATGGTAATTATTCAAAAAAAAAACTGATGGTCATTGGCAGAGCACTTGCGGCATACTAAGATATTGGGATGGCTCAGAATTTTTTGCTTATTTAGGTGTTGAAATTTCAGTTTTAAGGAGAAATTGACTGAAAAACTGCTTTATCTTTTTACTTTCGTTCAGTTTTCGAGTTGTCAAAACTTAATCAGATTTCAATATATATGTAATTTGACGTTGGGTTGTCACATTTGCATCTTATTCTCCTCAAAAACCGAAATGACACAATTATTTCGCTAGGTCATTAATGTTCACAATGTCCCGGTGTGCAAATAAAAAAAAATTTTCAGGCCCGATTGTATGCGCATAATGATGTGAATATGTCACAAATTTTCAGGCCAGATTGAACATCATAATCAAAATTTCTCGGACCCGATTTATCACCCATAACTATGTGAATGTCTCACAAACATCAGTCCCTATTGAACACCATAACTCTTATGATTAATCTGACAACTGGTTTTACATTCGTAATTGCCTTGGACGTCCATAGCTTATGTTTTCCTTTGATAGTATTTTGATGTAAAGCACGTGTACCCATGCATTATATTTCAAGTTGTGCCAGAAGTGGCTTGAAAATGGATGGGAATTTTGTCTGAAGATTTTCACAGTAAGTTAACTGCAGGTTGCAGAACGGGCACTATTCTGGTGGAACAATGAGCATATAGTGAGCTTGATTGCAGAGAATCGCCATACTATCTTGCCAATTATCTTTGAAGCTTTAGAAAAGAACATAAAGTGTCACTGGAACCAGGCTATCAATGGGCTAACAGCTAATGTTCGAAGGATGTTCCAGGAGATGGATGCTGAGCTGTTTGAAGAGTGCCAAAGGCAATATGAAGAAAGGGAGGCCAGGGCTGGAAGCCGGGAGGAGCAGCGGGTGTTGACATGGAAGAGACTTGAAGAGGCCGCTGCAAATGGGTGTTGACATACATAACTGTAAGAGCAGCTGTACTGGCTGGGGAAGATGTGATTAGAGTTTGACTCACTGATCTACTTGTAGATTTCCACTGCAGCACATAATTCGCCTATAATCAGAGGGCAATGAGCGGCACAAGTTCTGGTATTGGTGGTGCACGGTCTTGGTCTGTTGCCCCGAAATGAGCAAAGTTCTTTTGCAATCCGCCCTCTGTCACTGTTCTGTCTTTTATTCTGGGGAGAGAAGTTGGACGAAATTCTGCCATCTTGTCTTCTCGACCAAGTGCAGTGCTTTTTTGCTAATATGTGTTTCTAATTATAGTTTGGCTTTTTGATCGTTTTTTTTTTTTTTTTTGTCATTCAATTTTGCGATGACAATGAAAGCAATGTTGGAAGTAGTTTGTAGTTAATATCTCATTCAAAAGGGTTATTTTTTTTTCACCTTTGGTAGCAATAAGTTAAGTGGTTAAAAGTTCTTTCCGCTAATTGATCTCTGCTGTTGGTTTATTTTGGGCATTGATTGGCAAACATGGTGACGGCATGCCATCCCCCGTCAGATTTTCCCGACTCAATTGGCTCACTTTCTAGAGTTGCTCCCGATCCAATTGGCTCACTCCCTAGAGTTACTTCTCTTAAAGTAAGTCCCCCCTCTTAGTAGCAGGAGTAGGTTAGATTAGATGTGCCGTCAGTGAAAAAAAAAAAAAAAATCTCTCTATTGTGAATGGACGATAACTGATCATCGGGTAAAGAAAACAGTAGTAGTAGTGGCTTTGTGCCAATAAATTTTAAGAAATAATAAAATATTAGTACTAAGCTAAGCTAGTTTATTTTGGGCATTGATTGGCAAACATGGTGACGGCATGCCATCCCCCGTTAAATGGCCATGTTGAGCTGCTGCTGCTGCTGGAACTGGAAGGCACTGAACAGCTCTCATAATCAGAGAGAGCATTCGTAAAATGAGCCCCAAAGCTTTCTTCTGTTCTGCCACCAGTAAAATTTTCCCCTATTACTGAACCTGCTTAAAAAGTTACTAGATTCTGCGACTACCCACCAAGTCATTATTAATCTACTTCACACGCTGATTTTTTCACTGTGTCTATGCCTGCGATCGATCGTTAAGTGTCTGTAGACATTATTGTAGTATGCTGCAGCCTCATGGTTCATATCGCCGTGTAATCATATCATCAGAAGAGAAGCGGAGAGCAGCCTTCCCATCGTATCAATTTTCATCCAGGAATGTTAGCGAGAGAAGAAAAGATGGATTTCTCAAGAGGAGGAACCAATTGCTAAATTTCTCAAGAGGACTGAATGGTTAGTTGGGATTCCAGAGAACCACACCATCATTGTGTAATTTGTGTTGCATGAATCGGAAAGAACTACTCTGTTTCTGATTGATCATTCAATTTCAAAGAATAGCAAAGAAAATGGCTCTGAAACTGATGTTTGACCCGAAGCAACCACTTCAGCCGCTCACACTCTATCCCCTCCCCCATATGCATAAATAATTGATCATTCTCTCCCCATCACATTACTTGACTTGAGCAAAAGCCCCCCCGCAAGAAGTCAACAAATCAATTCCTGCACCATCTGTTTTTTTCTACATCAAAATGGCCCACTGAAAAGCAACAAGAAAAAAAAAAAAAAAAAAAAGGAATCCCTGAGCCTTGCCTTGAGGTGCTTGCTCAATTGATGCCTAAGAATCAATAATAATTACATGTGCAGGAAGAGATGTGATGGTTGATCTTCTTCCTTTTTCCCTCTAAATAATTAATTAAAAATGTTAGTTTCTTCCTTTTTCTTTTTCTTTTTGGCTCTTTAAATTCCTATGTACTGGTAATAATAATCATAGTAGAGCACCTTGGTTGGTGATCATGCACAAAATTAAAATAATTAGAAGAGACCAAAAGACGAGCGCGGATGCTGTAGGAGGAGGAGGAGGTGGTGGTGCGCCGCTGCCAAATATCATACCGAAGAAGTCGCCATCTCCGCCAGGAGTGGACCCCGAACCGCCATAACCGTTGGCGCTGTCTCCGGTGGTAGACCCCCCGCCGTAGGACATGCTAACGCTGTTGTCCCTGTACCATGGTTACCATTATTATCATATCAGCATCAGAACCATAAGCTCAGGATAAGAATGGAAGGGCAGAAAACACCACCAGTCCACCGGAAAAGAGTGGTAACTTGGTTGTTGGACCCCAAAAAAAAAAACCATGCAATAATAATAATAATGATGATGATGATGATTGATTGATTGATTTAAGCAAGTCATCTAACCAACCAATCGAGGGATTTGAAGACCAGAGCCAAAATAATTGAAGGGGGCATTAATTCTTTTTCAGACACCCCCCTTCTTTCTCATAATTATTATTATTTATCAAAGCCGCCACTCTTCTTTCTGTCTGCCTTTGATTCATTAGATGCATGATGAAGATGGGAAGTCATCCTCTCACACAACAACTTCCTTCTTGCACCAAAAAACCAGACAGTCATAAATAAATCTACAACAACTTATCGTATTTTGATAATAACAATGCCAGTACAGTGCTTAAAAAAGTCTCAAACACGCGTGATGATCAAATCTCCTTTGATTTAGAACGGTGTCCCCAGGCCTTCTCATCCCCCGTAAATAATTGTGTCCAACTTGATACTACTGTGATTTTGATGCTGTGCAGCAGTCTGTTTTTGCGCAGGCTCTTTTCCAGTTTCCCGTTCCAATGTCGAAATCAATAATAATAACGAGCCGAACTAATTTGTTTGTACCAAAAGTGGTTCCCGAATGGAATACTACACAGTAGCATAAAAGACTCAGGCCCCACAACCCCATCCAACGCGGAATTGGCTGGAGAGCATTTATTGAATGGAAAAAGAATCTGAGAACATTTTTTATATCTAACCCGCTCCACTTTTCACACCAGGAACAAGAAAGAAGATCAATAAAAAGGCCCCCCCCCCCACCCCAAATCGCCCCTCTCTCAGGTATCTCCGTTCCAACAAGTCACACACTAGCTTAGCTTAGTACTAATATTTTATTATTTCTTAAAATTTATTGGCACAAAGCCACTACTACTACTGTTTTCTTTACCCGATGATCAGTTATCGTCCATTCACAATAGAGAGATTTTTTTTTTTTTTTTCACTGACGGCACATCTAATCTAACCTACTCCTGCTACTAAGAGGGGGGACTTACTTTAAGAGAAGTAACTCTAGGGAGTGAGCCAATTGGATCGGGAGCAACTCTAGAAAGTGAGCCAATTGAGTCGGGAAAACCTGACGGGGACTTAACTACCATCTGACCAGATGAATGCACCATTCATTCGTATGAATTTAGAACACTTCTCGTGTTGAGACATAATATGAGACATTAGAGTACATTTTTTTTTGTTCTGACAAACATAAAACATTTACTATTTAGTAGTTGAAACGTGTTGACCTTGAGGGTGCTTGACAGAGAGATCTGATCACCAAAATTTACGCGCTCAACCGACCTTTGATTATTTACTACTCCTCCTCTGAAGTCTGAACTGATTGGTTTAGTAATTAGCAGATTCCTAAGTTGTAAGGAGGGTTTGTAAAAGGCGGGAGTGAAAGTGATGGTTGTTGTAAGACAGCAATTGTTAGCAGTAAATCCGACCAAAAAGACAACAAAAGCAAACGCTAAAAGACAACTCTGTTAAGGCTGTCTGTCTGGCCGGCCAGCTTTTAGATTCCCAACACCCGCGCCTTCACGTGCATCCAAATCCGATCCATCCATCAACACCCCCTCTTCCTTCGCACTCACTCTTCACCCTATGCCTATAATCTTGGTCCCATGTCATTTCTCCGCTTTTACTACTGCCACTACTACTACTATTTCTTTCCACTGCCCTATAAGTGACTTACTCCTGTTTTATATATATATATATATATATATATATATTAGTATCATGGTACATGCAACGCCAAGGGTTTTTCAAAACCAAACCCGGTTATGTTTGACAAGCGAATTTTTTGAATATTTTTTTAAAATTTTATTATAATTTATTGTAAAAATTTTTTGAGATTATTGTAGATAAAATTTTTAAAAAATTTGTAGCAGGTAAACTTGACAAAAAAAAAAAAAAAAAAAAACTTGTCCGCATTTGAAATTCTGGATCATTATTGTTTTTTCCTTTGTTTCATATTGTCTGACATTCCGATTGATTGTTTTACACTACTAGCTGGATAACAGGGCATATATTCTCATCCGAGCAACCAATATGAATTGGAGGGAGAAAATTGTGTCTTCTGCATGTCCAATTGGCTCCTCTCTTCCGTAGCATACTCGAATTATTGCCGTTAGACTTCATAAAATTACACACATACCTCTGTCCCATATGTCTAGTCATATCATATTTTGGCTATGTGTTTTTTATGCAAAATACACTTCATCAAAATATTTTTTCTTTGTTTTATATTTATCCTTAATCATGTGCTGATTAAAGTAAAAAAATAAAAAGCAATCACATCACATTTGATTTTATGCATCATTAATAAAGGATATAAAAAAAATTTAGAGTATAAAATAGATAAAAATGTCAAATATGACAAATATTTTGACACAGTTAAAAAAAAAAGCAAGATACTTTTAATGGGCAGGTCGAGCAGTTGACAGCAAGGGGCAGGTCGAGCAGAAATAGTACGGAGTAGTATCGGTTCCCCAGACAAGTTGATTAGGGAATTTGACTTGGCAATGGGCATATCCCAAATGCATCCAAAAAATCCACCAAGTTGGCCCAGTGGCATTTTGGTGGTTTGGCACTTAGGAGGCCTTCAATTGGGACGGTTAATCTGACAGGTATTTTGAGTTGCGTTGTGAAGGCCAAAGCAAAAAAAAAAAAATTTTTGTGGGATTGGTTTTTTGGGGTGGCCCGGGGGGGGGGGGGGGGGGATACCCAAAAAAAAAAGGTCATAGAACTAAAGAAGCTGGAGTTGTATAGGATACCTGGGCCCACCAAGGACACCGGAGTTGAAAGTTAGCTGGTCAATAAGTCCAGAAGACTTGGGCTCGACGCTGGTGGCCCTAGCATATTGGGCGCTCAGCCCCTCGCCCGAGGGGACGAAGAACGCTCCATTTACCATCATGTCCCCGTCCGTCCTCCAGTTCCAGTCACTCCAGTCCTTCTCGTCTGTTTCCACGCGCTTTGTCACCTGCTCCTCAGACACATATGTAATTAATAATCATACACCCTGGTTAGCAGCTGAATGACCATCTTAAGCCAACCACGCTGCAAGCATGCGCGTGCATCACACGACGTAATTAATCCTACTCTCGTCGTCTAATTATTTAAATCAATGAATGAAAAATGAGCTGTTAACCAAACAGAAGAGCAGCGACTAATTAGTGCAAAGTCCCTTCGAAAATAAGTTTCTTGATCTGGGCTGTTTTCTTGGCCCGGTGTCCACTTTTCTTGTTGCACCTTCAAAAGTGAAGAGACCATCATATCTCTTTCTATTGTCAAAATGTGGGGACACCAATTATAAAGTTCAGTTTAGATCACGAAATAAATAGGGAAACGATCCCAAATTGGTCATTTTCTGCAATATCCTATTTTCTTCCTTCATTTTTTGTCTTTTAAAAAAAAATTTCGCATTACAAATGGTAAAATTTGTCACCTCAGCCTCCCTTCTAACAATAAAAGAGCATCACCATCCTAAGAGCCCAACAAATTAATTTTTGGCCGCCCCACGTTACACCAACGTTACTTTCCTGCCAATTTGCATCTCAGGACAAAAACATATACATGTAGCCCACGTGCACTTGCTAACACTCTTTGCATTATTCCCAAAAGTCACTTTTGGTTTCAAATATCAACCCCTAAAGAATTCAGGATGGATCATCATCATCATCGATTGCATGGAAACCTAAGGCTAATGATAATCGGGTTTGTATGGATAGAGTATTATTTGAAATAATTATTATAACATTTTTTATAATGTGATGTATATGAGATAAAAAAAATGTAATTGAAGATATGAAAAGATGAATTGAAAAATATATTTATAATACAAACGAAATATTATTTAATAAAATTTGATATCCAATCATAGTCGCACTCCTAAAGCACTCCTTTTCTTCTTTTGCATTAGACGAAATTTAAAAAGTGCCTTAAATTTTTTAAGGAATGCCAAAATATCATCTCATTTCCACGATCAATCTTTTTTTTACCACAATCCCAAAAGCTGCCTTTGGCGGCGCGTAAAAGTACGCGCCTCCAATGCAAAAATCCCTTTAAGCAGAGTATTGTATCATGTTACTCCCATCATTGAGCCAATAATTCTGTAATCAGACAACAGTACAAACCACTAAACACTAGCTAATAACGATGGAAAAACAAAATGTCAGCAGTAAATATGAAAAGGCTGTAAAAGTGGATTAATTACCTCCTTGGCATCCGGGTCGGGCGGGGCGATGTACCTATTTCCCTGACTATTGATGGTAGGATTAGCACTACCACCAATTGCATACATCTTCCATTCTGTGAAGTCATTGTTCACCACGTGTATGTACCCTCTCCTGCACCTTGGCATACGCTGTACTAACCCCACTCCAAAATGATTAAACGCAATTGTCACCTATCCCAAAAATATAATTAATCAAAATTAATACCAATCACCCT